ATGAAGGCAGATCTCATTGCTGGTCTCAACCAAACAACTGCCCAAGCAACAAACTCAGCTTTAGACACTGAAGCAAGTTTCCACTGGAGGGAGAAAGGAGTTCTGGTCCTTAAAACCCAACTTTTAAATTTTGTTAAAGCTGCAGGCTTAAGGTGGTACTTTCATTCAACACGCGTTTACCAGGCACCATGCCAAGTCCTCGAGCAAAAGATAAGATTCTGTTCCTGCCCTCAGTTAGTTCATAGTCTAATATGGAGAAATGGATAGACTTAGACCACAGAGTGCAAAAGGGGAGGTCTACACAAGCAATAGAGGAGAGGAAGGAATGGATGGGGGTGGAGGTTTGGTGGTTCAGAAAAGGCTTCACATAAAGGTTGATTTTAGCCCCAGTGTAAAGGAATGACAACGAGTAATGGGTGTTGGGTAAGCAAGTAACAACAGCACAACAGCCTGGAGATGAGAAAACAGCATCCTGCGCTGGGAAAACACAAGCAAGAATTAGGGAGCACTAACCGCTTTACTGTCAGCATCTCATTTGACTGGCACCACCACTATGAGAGGTTCAAAGAAGATACTGAGGCCTACAGGATTTAAGTAGCAGAGCCAGGACTCAACCAATGATTTGATTCCAAAACTGGGCTCTTTTTTTTTTTCCAAGTTTTATTGAGATATAATTGACATACAGCTCTGTATAAGTTTAAGGTGTGCTGCATAATGATTTGACATAAATATGTTGTGAAATGATCACCACAATAAGTTTAGTTAACATACATCTCCTCACAGAGTTACACACAAAATTTTTTTCCTTGTGATGAGAACTTTTAAGATCTACTCTCTGGGCAACTTTCAAATATACCACACAGCAGTGTTAACTATAGTCATCATGAAATGGGTGAAGGGGGTCAAAAGGTACAAACTTCCAGTAATAAGATAAATAAGTTCTAGATACGAAATGTACAAAACTGTGCTTAACCTCTATGTTATCTGGCAACTACGCAAACAGCTATGGAGAAAATGACCCCAAAAAGACAGATATATCGGCAGAGACCAGACTGTAAAGAGCTGTGAATGCTACGATTCACAGCACAATGTAAGAATTGTAGACTTGAAATCTTTTCACGATTCCCCAGAAAACAAGGAACTAATAAAATCAGGTATACATTTTGAAAAAATAATTTTGGCTGCAACAGCTAGTATAAGAATTGCTTTCTAACATTTAAAATACATAACAAATTTTACCATCATAGTATTTTCAAGTTTAGTAACTGTTAATTGAAATTATATATAATTGAAATATATACAATTGAAATTATATATAATTACCAAAAATGCTTCTATGAATTCAGTAACACTTTCAAATGAATGTTTATGTCACTCTACATACATTTGGAAAGCAACTGTACAAATCCACGAGACCTTCACTTAGTCTAAAGACAACACTGCTATGCACTGAGAATTCACGTGCACCAAGCAAACCCTTTGAGACCAGACCACGGGTTGGAAACCACTAGCAGAAGGGATGCAGTTTACAGAGAAAGAGGGAAACCACTTAGAAGGATTTTGCCATTATCAATGGGCGACCCACAGAGTACAATTCAACAGTGTAGCACCAAAGGCAAGCAAAGGGGCTGACCAGCACATCCCTGAAGGATAAAAATGGGGGCAGGCGCAGAAACAGACCAATTGGAAATAACCAGGGAAGGATTCGTATTCTGGTGCCAGGCTTGGTCATGAGCTCAAACTGGCATCCCTTTAGTCCTTCTACAGGGTGACACTGAAAGAAGCAAACCCAGAGGTAACAGGCAGAGCAGGTGAGTGGGAAGGTAGTGAATTAAGTTAGCCTGTTCTGCTCCAGCCATAAAAATTACTACTGTATTTAAACCTCAAGCTAGATAGCAACATGAACTTACAGACTGGAAACTTTGTGACCAGCTAATGCAATGAGCCATACACCCAGCTCTCAATCTCACTGCTATTTCGTCTGTTTACTACAAGACTTTTTAATGCCCCAAAACAGAGAGACAGAGGCAACTATTAGGTATAGAAAATTAAAAGGTACTGCAGCAAAGGACCAAAATTAGAGGGTCCAGCCTGCATTTTCTAGCATCATCACCCACTCCATGACCTTGCTAGAATCAAGCTTCCCCTCTGCCTTTGCCTTCAAACCATTACATTATTTGGTTTTAAACCAATGTTTAATCATAAACCAGCTCTGCTACATTATTGATATTCCAAACAGCATTTCCAACCAAATAATAATCCAATATCATTATGTGGAATTACCTTAAAGGGTAGCACTCCTACATTTGTTTTGAATTGAAATATTAAACTAACCAGAAGTATATATACACTCCTAAGTATCCAAAAATGATTTGAAAGAAATAAAAAAAGTTATAAAATGATAGTGATTGGTAGAATAACAACTACTAGCCCTCACTTTACCCTTTCTCCTTCCCCTCCCAAAATAAAACTAATAAAACTTTAACTTTGGTTGTGGCAATAATACATTAGCTATTTAAAATGACAGATGGAGAATGGAAATGGCAAGGACATAATGACATGGACTCTGGTCATCATTCAAAGCTTTATAAGGTTATTAAAGTTTCTTGACCTTGGGCTGTTCAAAGCTGCAGCTGAGAATAAAGGCAGAAGCTTATATTATATATAATATACATTTTATATAACATTATAATACATATATATACATATATACACATATAAATGAAAGACCCACTTATGCTTCAACATATGTAGAGGAAAGTACGATAGGGAATATGGAGCAAGAATATTAGCAAGCAGGAGAAAGATTTACACTATAATCTCCCTCACTTTCCAAAATTCCTTATAAAATACTGATTCTAAAGTATATTTTATCTTCAAAGTAGAGGTTCTCAGAGTGAAGAGGTTGCGGCAATGAGAGAGTCATTCATTCTGCTTCTTTTGGCAAGAACAATATTTTTAAATATGTGCTTTGGTTGTAAAGGCAAAGCTAAGTTAAATTTGGACACCAAATTTAGACAGATAAATTTGGACACTAAGTGAAAAAAATAAAATAAACCTAAGAGTGAACACATCACTGTCACTTCAAATGCCCAGAGTATACCAAAGTATATGTGCATATGTAAATTATTCACATATCTTCATTGAAAGTACTGCCTTGCTCTTTGCGGCACTAGAAAAACATCACAATTTTAATTTCATTAACTATATTAAAATGATATGGCAAAGCCTTTAGAAAGATTCGGCTCTCTGCTAATGATGATCAAAAAACTTTACAGAGTTGCCAAATCATTGCTGAAAAACACTTTTAGATGGGGTGGGATGGAAGCACGAAGATGCACTATGATATCTTTTAGGACAAAACACTTCCCTCAAGTTTGATAGATACAAATTTCTCACAGAAATTCCACGCAATTATGATCAAGCTACAACAAACAAGGAATGTTTAGATTTTAAAAACGTGCATACTAAAAAAGCAAAGGGTGTGAAATCATCCATATTCACAGATTTCCTGAAGCAAATACAGAGAACTCCACACAGGAGCCATGTCCAAAAATGTCCCCTTATTTCTTCCCTTTTCCCTCCCTTCCTCCCCAACCCTCAAAGGCAAAAGGGTAAGTTCAATTTCCTTTCTAAAATTATGCAGAACACACACTACTAATGGAAAATTACCTTTGGAAGCCTTGACTTTTCAAAGTTTATGAATGAGGGAAATTATTTCTCAACTACATTGCTGGAATTTTTCCACTCTCATTTCAATTCAAAATACAGTGTTTATTCCTCTACCTCCCTCCCCATGCCCTCCCCTCTCACCTAAGTCACCTTCAGACCAGCACGTTTCAGTCCAAAAGAGAAACCAAAAGCTAATTTCTTAGACGCCCCCCCCCACCCCGCTCCCTATTATCTAGTGGGTAATGCTACTTACATTTCACATTCTTTTAGCGTAAGAAATGTAACATTGAAAGTTTATTCTCTTTATTTTTTCCACATATATACATTTATTTCTTTAAGGATACATGAATTCTTTTTAAACAGTTTGTTTTGGGATTCTTGAACCCGTTGTTTTTCCCGTGGAATAATCTTTAAGCCCAATTATTTTTAAATACGTTGAGAAAGCCGGCACGTGGCATCAGTAACTCCTAAATGACTGCATGGCTGGTGTAGGCAACAATTTTCTAACAAGCAGTTGTTCCTGATTCATATGTGCTGGGTAGACTTCTTAAGCATCATTTAAAAAGTCATCTGTTTCATACAGTAGAATAACGGCCAAAAATCCCGGTGTTAACCTTCTACAGTTAAACGTACCTCTAAGAGGTTGATGAAGAAACCTCCAAGAGACCATCTCCTTTTTAAGGGGAAAGAAGGGAATGGAAGATATTGTCTCTGAGGCACAGCTAGGAAAGTAACAACCCTTCAGTGAGTGACCTCAGGATATCTTAGCCTCATCAATGCCGGCTTTGAAGTACAAGCCTGACTCCCACACCCTGGGCTCCGGATGCTGCCTATAAGAAATCATTTCTCCACGTGCGCCATAGTTGTCTACACTTTCCTCCACCCGCCCTCCCACCCAACATACTCTTAATACTCTGCCCCTGCAGACATGTGTCTGGCATCCCCACTTGTAGCCACCCCAAAGAAACGCACCAGACGACTCAGGGACAGCTCTGCGCTGCCGAGACACATGCCGGGCGGCGGGGTGCCGACGTGGGCTGGTCCATAGGGATGTGCGGTGCCCGAACCCAGGTGGGCCCGCGCTCGACTCTGCCAGGAGCTCTGGGGGAGCCAGCGAGACCGTCCAGGGGAGCGCAGCGCTACGCTCAGCTGGACGTTAAAAGAGAGGAGAAGCAGAACTTGCGAAGTCCCCCAAAACTGCACACGCAAACCAGCAGGCTGCTACGCGCCGCCGAAGGTCCCGGGAGGAGGCCGAAGCGCAGAGTGGCCGGGCCGCCCGCACCTCGCGACGCCCACCCCGAGGAAAGGCGAGGAGTAAAGGCACTCACCTCCACCCATCTCTGGGCCTCGGCGAACGCCACGGCGCAGTCGGCCTCTGCCTCCTCCATCCCTTCCAAGACTAGGGCAAGACAGGGAGAGAGAGACGCGGTGGGTGCGCGGAGGGGCGGGGGTCCCGCGCGCGTTTCGGCCGCCGCCCCAACCTCTGCTCCGGCCGCGAGACGCCCGGGCTCCCTTTCCCTTTGTTGCGCTCTGCAGCCTGGTAGGGTTTCGCACCTCCAAGAACTTGAAGACCTGGCTTTCTCTAAACTCCTGGAAACGACCCCAGGTCCACGGGGACCTGGGCAGCCGGGCAGGGCGCCGGAGGTGGAGAGGGAGACTAGAGCGGCGCGCGGCACCAGCCGGGACAACTGTTTGGACTTCAAAAGTCGCAGGGCTGCCGCCGCCCTCCCCAGAGCGGCCCGGCCCCAGCCCACCCCGGCCGCGGAGTCGCCGCTTCCGTCCGCCCCCCTGCGCCTCCCCGGGGCTCCGGACCACAGCCGCCTTTGTGGTCAGACTGTCTGGGCCAGGGGATGCCACCGTCCGCCAGGAGGCGGTGGCCCAGGCCACGCTCGCCCTCCCGCGCTGCCCGCCCGGCCCGCGACTCCGCCCCGAGGGGATGCGCCCCCGCGCCCGCATCCTTCCCGCCTCCGCCCGCCTGGCCGCCTTCCCTCTCCCGGGGCCCGTGGAAGCGGCGCCCCCTCGGCTCGCGGCCGCCCGACCCGCCTGACATACCAGGAATAGCTGCACACAATTGCACCTTTCCCGGCCAAGAAACTTCCCCCGCTGGGGAACGCGGCCCGCCGAGACGCGCAGCCGCCCCGCCCGGCCCGGCCCGCCGCCCTCACCTGCGGCCTCACCCCGCGGCGCGCGGTTCCCGCTCCCGCCGAGCCCGCTGTCCCGCTGCGCGCGGGCCCCGCCGCCAGGTACGCGGTCGTCCCCAACCCAAGCTCTCCGCCCTCTCAGCCCGCCCGGGCCCGCCTGGCGGCAGGTGAGGGTAGTGGCCTTGGCACGTGCCGCCCATTTCCCCCAGCCTGGGTCCGCCCCGCCCCGCCCCGCTTCCAGGTGGGTGAGATGGAAGGTACCTGCCACTCCAGCCCCGTCCCGCCGCAAAGGGTTCGAGCGGAGGGGAGCCCTGCATTTCTCCCGCCCCTCGCCCGCTCCGCCCAGTTCAGGCCATTTGACCGCCCGCACCCTGAGCGTCAAACCTTCCACCCTTTGTGGTTGGGTACTTGCAAGGGCAGTGAGGTGCCAGGTTATTCGCTATCCGCAGGGGTCCTGGGTAGATGCGCAGGGCGGGAGAGTCAGAGACTCGTGGGTTGGCTGATTGGATTCTTTTCACACAAAAATCGGATCTTCGGAAAGAAACCTGCTTGTCCGTCTAGGCTCCCTGGGACCTCGCTCAATGCTCCTGAAGTCGCATCCAGGCCACACGTGATGGCGTCACCTTTGGAGGAAGATAAAGATCGGTTCTTACTCCTGCAAAGGAAGCAACCCCCCCTTTTTATTTTCCTATGATTGTTTGATTTTTTTCTATGATTCTGTGATGGTTGTTTACTCTTGATGAAAAACGACCTCAAATGTAGAGCAGAGAAACTAATATGATAAATAGCTAAAACCTAGCGCCTGTATTTAACAGTTATTTATATTTTGCCTTATTTACTTCACCTTTTTTGCTGAAAAGATCGTTATTATATTTCCTGCTTAAAGATAGATATATTTCACCCCTAAATATTTCAATATACATCTCGGTTTTAAAAGGACACTTTTCTACATAACCATATTACATTTTCACCCCTAACTAAAGCTAACAATTAGTTACCTAACATCAATTTATACCCAATCTAGACCCAAATTCCCCCAGCTGATCCCAAAATGTCTTTTAGAGCTGACTCAGACCAGAATTCAAATAATGACCACACATTGTATTTGGTTACATCTCTTTAAACCTAGAATAGCCTCCTCCTTCTCCCCTCCCCCCTCCCCTTTTTTTAGAATGCAATTGTCTTGTTAAAGAAACCAGGCAGCCTTCTGGATTTGTCTTATGGCTTCTTTTAGTGTCTTCCACATATTTCTCTTTCCTCTGCATTTCCTGTTACCTGGAAATTAGATCTAAAGGCTGGATTAGAACTCATTTACTCTTCTGAATGAAGACTTCACCAGCTTTCTTCCAGATGGGGGTGACTTCTAGAGGATGGTTTTTATTTGTTAGTTTTATTTTCCTTCAACTCTTTTTTCATGGCACTGTCTGTAATCAGTGGGTCTGTGTAGAGGAGTTGTTCCTGCTGAAGTGGGAGGCCATTCACCCGATCATCTCTTTGCCTCCTGGCTACACCAGGATCAGGCCAAACCCAAAATGAGGATGAAAGGATAAAAGAAACTGGGAAGATATTTCTTCCTGGCTATTCAAGACCTCTTCTGTTAAATATTTAATAAGCACTTTATGTGTGTAAAGTGCTAGGTGTCATAGGTGATACAAAAATGAAAACATTTTAGACACTGAATCCTATGTATTTCCAGTCCAGTAGAAGGACAGACATTCCATAAGCTTCGTGAGAGTTATTACTACAGTTATTAAATACATATACTATATTGTTTAAAGCTACTGCTATGTAACTTGAGTTATAGCTTTGGGGGCGGCAGCCCAGGATGGTAAGAAGTGCACAGGCTTGGGAATCTGAATGACTAAGGTTACCAAGTTACCAAACGTTCTGAGCTTCAATTTCCTAATCTGAAAAATGTGGTGATAATAACTACTTCAAAGGGTTGTTGTGAGAATTAAATATGATGGTGTATATAAAAGCCCAGGGCATTGCTTGGCATGGAGTAGGCACTTAATAAATGATGGTTATTTCCCATTAGTCTCTCTCTTACAGTAGTATGTCAAATATGGATTTTTCCTAATAAATGAGAATTTCATTCATTTGCTCAAATACTCACATGGAAAGAGCTGTGGGGTATTGCAAATTTCTGTTTCAAGTCAGTTCAGGCACCAGCCATTTCTGTCTCTTTAATGTTGCAAATTTGCAATTCAGAAGACCCAAATTCAGTTCTTTGCCGCCTATCAGTCTAATCAGTCATTAGAGTGTTTTATCCTTCTGGAAAGAGAAATACAGCTTTATAGAGAAAGGTAACCTGTCTTAGGCATTTATTTATTTATTTATTTTAATTTTTATTTATTTATTTTTTTCCCCCAAAGCCCCACTAGATAGTTGTATGTCATAGTTGCATAGCCTTCTAGTTGCCGTATGTGGGACGCGGCCTCAGCATGGCTGGAGAAGCGGTGCGTCAGTGCGCGCCCGAGGTGGACCGCCAGCAGCAGAGCACTCGCACTTAACTGCTAAGCCACGGGCCAGCCCATAACCTGTCTTAGGCATTTAAAATGAAATTCACAACGATAAAACATCAAGAATATTATTCATTTTCCAGGCCGGCCTGGTGGCTTAGCGGTTAAGTGCTCGAGCTCTGCTACTGGCGTCCTGGGTTTGGATCCCGGGCGTGCACCTACGCACCGCTTCTCCAGCCATGCTGAGGCTGTGTCCCACATACAGCAACTAGAAGGCTGTGCAACTATGACATACAACTATCTACTGGGGCTTTGGGGAAAAAAAACACGAGGAGGATTGGCAATAGATGTTAGCTCAGGGCCTGTCTTCCTCAGCAAAAAGAGGAGGATTAGCATGGATGTTAGCTCAGGGCTGATCTTCCTCACAAAAAAAAAAAATTGAAGAAAAAGAAAAAAACAATATTATTTATTTTCTAAGAGAATTTGAGGTACCTTTCAATATTTAAGAACAGTACAATTGTCACGTTCTTATACATTAGTGATGAAATGAACTGTTGGTGGGAGAAAGTGGTACAGTCTTAAAGATAATTTGGCAATAGATATTAAAAGTTTTTTAAATGCTCCTGCTCTATTGCAGCAATTCCACTTCTGGGAATTTATCCTAAGGATACCAGCAAAGACATATGCGCAAAATGAGCATCTACGGTGGACACAGAGATGCGCTAACAAAACCTCCCTTTAGAGGAGGAGCATGGTCAGCAGAGAGCCTCCAGCTGTCAGCCCCTTTGAGGTCAGCCTCAGCTGCAGAGCACAGCCTCACCTGAAGTCATGGCCCTCCCAGAGCAGCCCTCACATGGTGATTGAGTGACTTGAGGTTATATAAAAGCCCAGTCATTTCCACCCAGTACAGGACACCTCTGATGAGCCCTTTCCGTAGACGTGGGGTCTGCTGTGGGCCTTTGTCACAGTTCAACTTCTCCCTTGCTCGTTCCTACTTTTCCCCTCTTTGCTTCAGAGGGGTCAATCCCTAATAAATATCTTGCACTTCAAATGCCATCTGTCAGCTTATGGAGAACTCAACCTATGAGGGCAACAAGCATAATTTGTTAAAAATGAGAATCTAAAGCTCTAAAAATAGGGACAGTGGGGTAAATTATGGTTCTCCTGTAGAGTGAAATATTGTGCAGTCATTAAAAATGTAAAAGGATATTCAAGGACACAGGGAGATATTTAAAAATATAGAGCAGAGTGAAAAAAAACAATGTATAAAGCACCCTAATGTGTGATTGTTTCTCTAAAATGCATAATTTTTCCACATAGAACAAATTGGGGGAAAAAAACACTAAATTTTAGCACTGGCTATTTCCAAATGGAGATTTTATGTTTCTCTCTCCTTTACAGGATTTTTTGCTAGACATATATATTAGTTTTATAAGTGAAAAAATTTGTGTGACACAAAGATATGTCCAAATTTTACTTCCCATCTCGTCCCACAAACTTCATCCTCCTCCTCCCTTCCCTGACTTTGTAAATGGTACCACGCCTAAAATTTGGGGTCATGCTAGATGTCTTGTCTCTCACCCTGATGTCCACCCCATTCCCAGTCCTGTCCATCTATCTCCTAAATATGTCTTCACCTGGCCCCTGTTCTCCATCTCTATTTCCAGTACCTTAGGGCAGGCCTTCATTTGCTCTCAGCTAGATTTCAGAAATGGTATGAACTTTCTAAAATATAAATATTACCATGCTACCAACACATCCCCCCAATTAACTCCTCCTTCAAGCACTCCCAGTTGTCTTTAAGGAC